GTGTTAATCTGGATGGTGATTAGCCAATCCTACCAGACTTCTGCCTTGGTTGTTCATTGCCGTAAACCTTCGGAGTTTTGAATGTATGGTTTCCTTACTGGGTTTTGTGATAGTCTGTTGCTGTGTCCATGTCTTGATGTTTCCTTAACTCCTCGCTCTCTTACGTGGTTCGAACGGATGAGCATGTTGGTCATCTTACTGAATTGTGTCACCCTGGGAATGTTCCAACCCTGCGAAGACAATACCTGTGACTCGGAGCGCTGCAAAATTCTACAGGTGAGCTCTCTTTGTTTCACTTTGAGGTACAAATGCCAAACATGACTGCGGTGAACTGTTGTTGGCGATATCTCTGAGGGGTCAGTAGGATCTGAAGCACCCCTCGCTTGCTGTGAGATGCATCTTAGAAGTTGAAATTCCTCCATATGCTCACCCCTCGCAATCAACTAATCAGACCGTGTGCTCAAAGTTCAAGGGAAGTCTCGTGGAACAACGATAGTGTCCCTGTCTCTGAGCTGGAAGCACATGCTTCAAACCCCACCTCAGGATGTGATAGCCCCGAAAGGTGTGTTCATCACATGGCCTTGTATGAACCCAAAAATCCTTCCAAAACCCACCCAGGGGCAACTGGGAAAGCCAGGAAAGATTCCTGGTCAGGGTGTGGTCAGAGGAACATTGGAGCCTCTGCACTCACTAACACTTTCAAACTACACTACGCATGTAAAAAAGGTACATGCTACCATAGCAACTCAACCCCCTGAGTGATCTATAACACTTACAATTCAAACCTCAACAGATAGCAGAGCAGAGTTACAGTATTCTAACCACATGTAAGCTACAAGTCAAACTGTGTTACATTTAAACCTCCAGTGGCAGTAAAACAATGTTTTCTTAGTTTAATCCTTCTATACCAATCTGTTCAGCCTGCTTGTGTGATACGTCCTTTCTATGAATGCCTGGCTGATCTCCAAGAAAAGATAATGCACTTAGATCTCAGGAAGAAATGTTTCCGCAGCTGTAGAGGAGAGGGAAAACCTGATTTGATTGACTTTATAATAATCTATTATTTCTTTGAAGAGTTTTTGTTTTCACTGCCTGAATAATATTTACACAAGATGAAGCTATCGGAAGTGGAGAACAGTTTCCAATACTGATGCTATGGATGACTCTGTTAGATTGATCGTTTAGCAGAACTGGAAGCTGGCAGAGGTGAACAGAACACATGCAGAGACAGGAAAAAGAGATGGACCATGATGGGGATGGCATTATTAAATGACAAAAGGGATAATGGGCAAGGAAAATTGGCAAAAGTCAGGATTGATTAATTAGATCTGATTCTGGACAAGAAAACAAAATGACTACTATGTGGCACGTTGATCCACCACCATTAATATATTGGGGAAGTCACAGGGTGGGATTTGAAAACCAAAAGACAATTCTCCTCTCTGTTGCAAAAAAACACATACACTGATTTTTCAGAACTTTAAAAAGAAGTGCATTTGAAATGCAAACCATGAGATTAACAGTGAATAGATTGTTTTCATCAGAGACAGTTTTGACATAAATTGGAAGCCTTGTACATCCCCTCAAAGGTTAAGCAGCCATGAAGTATTTGAAAGCCATTATATTTTCATTTCATCCCTATTAGCATACAGATAGTCTGTTAGTGTCTGTATATAAGTAGTACAAGCTCATATCTGCATATGACATATTAAAACTAATGAGTGATCAAACAGCAATAAAGGAATACAACTGCACTAGTGTTCACAATTTATCCCAATTTCCTGATTAGTACAAATAATGTTGTAATTGTGAGGAGTGAGGCCTACGGTACAGCACAATACAGGCCCCTCGGCCCACAATGTTGTGCCAACCTATTATCCGACTAAGATCAAACTACCCTGCATACCCTACATTATACTATCCTCCATCTGCCTATCCAAGAGTCACTTAAAAGTCTCTAAAGTATCTGGTTCCACTACCACTGCCGGCAGTGCATTCCACACGCCCACCACTCTCTGTGTAAAGAACCCACCTCTGACATCTCCCCTATACCTTCCTCCAATCACCTTAAAATTATGCCCCCTCGTAATAGTCATTTCCACCCTGGGAAAAAGAGCATCCACTCTATCTATGCCTCTCATCATCTTGTAAACCTCTATCAAGTCACCTCTCATCCTTCTTCGCTCCAATGAAAAAAGCCCTAGCTCCCTCAACCTTTCCTCATAAGACCTGCACTCCAGTCCAGGCAGCATCCTGGTAAATTTCCTCTGCACCCTCTCTAAAGCTTCCACATCCTTCCTATAATGAGGTGACCAGAACTGAACACAATATTCCAAGTGTGGTCTAACCAGGGTTTTATAGAGCTGCAGCATAACCTCATGGCTCTTAAACTCAATTCCCCTGCCAATGAAAGCCAACACACCATACGCCTTCTTTACAGCCCTATCAACTTGGGTAGCAACTTTGAGGGATCTATGGACGTGGACCGCAAGATCCTTCTGTTCCTCCACACTGCCAAGAATCCTGCCATTAACCCTGTATTCTGCATTCAAATTCGACCTTCCAAAATGAATCACTTCACACTTTTCTGGGTTGAATTCCATCTGCCACTTCTTTGCCCAGCTCTGCATCCTATCAATGTCCCGCTGCAACCTACAACAGCCCTCCATGCTGTCCACAACTCCACCAACCTTCGTGTCATCGGCAAACTTACTAACCCACCCTTCCACTTCCTCATCCAAGTCATTTATAAAGTGGAGAACATCACCAACCAATAAATTCAAAAGGATGGCGACACAAAGATTGGTCTCAGCTGGCTGCAGATTGTAACAGAAATGGTGATGGTGGTTAGACCAGTCAGGAATATTATAGTTTTGAGGTACTGGATAAGTATGAGTTTCTGCATTGAATTTTCAGTGTGGGGATGCACAAATGAGCACAGTGGTGGAAAACACATAGAAAATTCAAAGGAATATGGTGGTAACTACAAATTGATCGCATCTGCTAACAACCACTGAGCTCTCAAGATCTCTTTTGGTAACCCCATCTCACACAGGCAGTACCTGGGCTCCTGTTCCCACCTCCTGAGTTTTCTGCCCTGAATTTGTTCATGTTGAGCTGTTTGGTTTTACCTCTGCATTTGATTACCTGACACTGAAACCGTGATACAAGGCCATTTCTATATAATATGTATAATGGGCTTGCAAAATATGTTTTAGCACCATCTTGGAAATGGAACTGACATGATCACTTCGGTTTATCAGTTCTCCACTGATTCCTTCAAAATTACTATCACTGCTTCATAGATCATCCTTGTGAATTTAAGCACCCTGGCATTTAACTCATTTGTCCTTCAGGATACATTCATTCTCAATTTCTTTAGCCTGACCTAGAATTTCTCTGTCACTTTGACCAAGGTCCTGGAGCATGCTAGCTGTTGGATAGTACATTGTTTATATCTTAACTGATCACTATCTCTTGAAGGCAAGTATTTAATACGTTTATCCTTCTATTTACCCTGTTGCAAATGCCAAATAAGTCCTTGGGATTCCTTCTTAACCTCTTGCTATTGACCTGCATTGTGCAATGTGTCAGGGCTCATGTGAAATCTCATATTAAAAGTTTTACCAGAAAAAGTGATGATAATAAATTTGAATTTGGTCTTAAGTTAAAAAGTAACATGTTCCAGGTCCAAACAAGAATCTTAAACATAGACAAAACTACATACAAATGTATGAGGAAAGAGTGGCTAAGATTTGATAAAAAATAACAGTAATTGTGGCAAACAGGCAGAGGGAAAATATTAAAGAAACTATTCAAAATGTTCAACAAAAATGCATTCTACTTAAAAGCAAAAACGAAAGCTAGAAATATCCATCCATTGCTTACTCAGGAGGTTAGCAATAATATTGGATTAAAAGAAAAGACTTATAATGTTGCAAAGAAAGGCAGCAAGTTTAAGGATTGGGAATTTTGTAAAAAAACAGCAATGGCCACCAAAAAGTTCATAAAAGGAGACAAAAATGGAAAATGAGTGTAAATTCTCCAAAATTATAAATATAGACTGCAAGAACTCCGGGGAATAATCCATCCAGCCCTGGCGACTTATCCACTTTCAAGGATTCCAACTCCTCTGACAATATTTCACACCACTCCTCTTGAATTAAAGTATCCACATCATCCCTTTCCTTTGTGAATACAGAGATAAAAAAACATTTAAAATTTTTCCCATATCCTCTGCATCTTCACTCAAGTTCCCTTCTTCATTTCTGATGGGTCCCACTTTTCCCTTAACTATCTTTTCACTCTTTATATACCAGTAAAACATCTTTGAGGTTTCCTTTATCTTGCTTGACAATATTTTTTCACACCCTCTCTTCAATTTCCTAATTTCTTTTTTTTAACTGGATCTCTGTACTCCTCGAGGCAATCTGTTTTTTACAGTTGTTTTTGAGGCTAGGTGATTGGACAACGAAGCGACAGCTGGAGTGTAAAGTGAGGAAGTGTGAGAATATTCATTTGGTCATAAGAATAGAAAAGTAATATTTTGTCTGTGAATGTTGTAAATGTTGATGGCTTGTGCATTCAACAAGATGCACAGAAAGCTGGCATGCCAATACTACAAGCAATTTGAAAAGCACAATTCCTTTTGGTCTTTCTTGTGTAGGGTATGGTGTACAAGCATTCAGGGCATTGGTGAGATTACTCCTGGAATGCTGTGTGCAGTTTTGAGGCTTTTTTTTAATGGAAGGATATATTAGCATCGGAGTTGGTACAATGAACATTCGCTATATTGGTACCTGGGATGTGGAGGTTGTCCTATGATGTGAGGCAGGGTAAATTGGGACCACATTCTCAGGAGCTTAGAAAAAAAAAGTGATGAACTCATTGAAATATAATAATTCTGAGGGAGCTATTTCCCCCTGGCTGGGATATAGAATCCCTACAGTGTGGAAGCAAACCATTCAGCCCACACAAACCTTCAGAAAAGCATCCCACCCAATTCCTCTAACATCACATTTCCCATGGCTAATCCACCTAGCCTGCATATCACTGGACACTACGGGCAATTTAGCATGACCAATCCACCCTAACCTGCACATCTTTGGACTGTGGGAGAAAACAGGAGCACCCAGAGGAAACCCACACGGACACGGTGAGAATGTGCAAACTCCACACAGACAGTCACCTGAAGGTGGAATCGAACCCGGGTCCCTGGTGAGGCAGCAGTGCTAACCGCTGAGGCACCATGCCACCCATCTACGACATGACGCACA